TTTCTATAGCCCCTCCCTCATCTATAGCCCCTCCCCCATACCTAATCACCCAATCCATACACCTCTCCTCCTGAACTTATTTGGCCGCACACCTGTATGTTAAGGTAGCAGGCCCCTCCCCCATCTCACAGGAACCGCCCACAATACATTGGTCTCTATGGAAGGAAGGACCCCCATTGGAGGGGAGGTGGGCCGTCCTCTGGGACACGTTCAGGATGTCACATGGAGTCTTCCCCTCCAGGAAATGTTTACATTGCCTATACATAGCCCTCCCCTCCCCCGGCAGGGTTTTATTTTTAAGCCGTCATGTCCTCATAGCGACCCCTTTATATGACCTCCTCCTATATTCAGCGAGGGGCCCGGTGCCGCCGCCCACAAACCGGATCCAACCCGCCTCTCCTTTACTTAGCAGCTAGGCAAGGTCACGGCGCGTGGTGGGGCCCTCCGGTGGGGGCTCCGCGTGACGGATCGTCCACATTCTGTATACATATAAAGACGTTATACACGAGTCCTCCGGAGGCCCCTCCCATACGCCGACGCAGCCAATCGCTGAACCCGCAGAGGACGGTGAAAAGGTAGAAGCCGATTGGCTCTCCTGCTAGAACTTGTACAGAGTGCCTGACCACATGGACCACGTTGGCACCAGAGAAGGCCGAGTCCAGCTTGGTGCCGCGCTCCATAATGTCCTCCTCCGAGCCATTGGGAAGACCCCGTGCGCACAGGCCACGCCCCGTCAGTCCCGGCTCTTGCTCAGTAGGGCCGGGTTGGGGTACTGCGGTTCCTCGATTGCCCGTTCACCAAATTTCAGTTTGAGGAGCTCCACGTGATGGTTGGGCGCCCGGACCGCGGCCCCCGCGAAGGGCAACGTCTGGAGGGGCTGCAGGAAGCTCTCGGGGAACTCTATATCCTGGGGGTGCCCCGTCCACGAGTCCCGGGTCATCACCCCATCACGGGGGTAGAAGGGCCACAGGTCCACGTGTAGGTGGTTGCTTTGGCTGTACTGGACCCTGAAGAAGTCTCCCTCCACGGCCCGCTCCCACACGAAGCCTTCCGAGTCTATCAGCGAGCCGCCCTGAGCCCCCCGCAGCTCCGGGCACAGCCCAACGTCCTCCAGGTAGATGCCGAGGTCCACGTCATAGTCCCAGGGGATGATGTCACGGAGACGGGCGGCCCCCAGCAGACTCCCCCCCTCCAGCCAGTACCGCACGTTGCTCGCCTCCAAAACCTTGATGACGTGAACCATGGTGGCCCTCAGAGCGCGGAGACAGCACGGCGGGGTCCAGCGGCCTTCGTACAGGTACTCCGGGGTCTCCCCGACCACCGTCCCGAAGCACCGCGGCGTCTCCTTCGCGCACCCGTACCACCGATCTCCTCCTTCCAGGCCACGGACCAATCGCACGCTCAATGCTCGCATGGTGGCGGTCTCGTCCGCGTGCTCCGCCTGGTCAGCTTTCCAGCGCCCGTGGTCCGTGGCGGGTAGACGGGCGAGGGGGAACTTGGCGCCTTCCAGTATCTTCACCCCCCACCCCCGCAGGGCGGCTTGTATGAAAATGGCCGACTGGACGGGGCGGGAGCGAGGGAACGGCACGCC